AAAAAGATCTGACCATGTCTATTAACTTTGAAAGGAAGAGCGTGGTGTAATGGGCCCAGCACCCAGTTCTCCAAGACAGGGCTATGAAATTGTTAATGTCAAAAGTTGTTCTGCATCCCAGGTTTAAATAAGCCGTTCTTGAAATGAGGCCTGATTAAGCACTCCCTAGTGTTATCGCAAGCACCCATACTGGCCTCCTTCCCTGGCTGGTGCCTGCTGTAGTGCTTTGTGGTTTGCAACAGCCGTGGCCTCTCACAGGGCTGTGTTAGCAGCTCAGTCCGTCCCCATTTCTCTCAGGATCTCCAGCCCTGGGTGCTTCCTCTGTCTCCACAGAGCCAAGTTCTCCTCCCCTCATGCCAGTGGGAAAGTCCAGATTGTTCCATTGTTTTCTCTGCCTCTTGGATAGTTTATCCAAATTCTCCACAGCGTCTACATTTCATGTCAGTTTCTTCCTGATTTCCAGTAATCTACTTATTTTCTCTTTAAATTGTTATTTTCCAGTGTTTGAATTCCAGATCTCAGAGAGGCTGAATTTCACTGCCAGTCACCACTCCACCATTTTCTCAATCATGTGATATCTTGACCCAGGAAATAATTAGGAAAAAATGTTTTAAAAATACAAAGACCAGTTTGTGAAAAATTTGTAATCTGAATGTTATTTCATATGCTAATAACTAGAAGGGTTCTAAATAAAAGTTACACCTACCAAAGACATCAGAAAAAATGTTAATGCAATTTAGAAATTTTAAGTATAGATGTCATGAAATGGTACTGTCTTCTTTTTGGTTATGAAAAGAGTTCTTTGTCTTTATGCCCTGCTAGCTGAATTTGAACAATGGTATTAACTACTATTTTTATGCAACATTCCTGTGAAACTCCTGAAATATAAGCAATAGCAAGTTCATTATTATTTTCATAACTACTTTAGGTATTTTAGATCGTGCCTGAAAACAAGTTCTCTGTCAGAATCACTTCTATCATATATACTGAAAATTAGAAATATGATTTTAATTGTCCATAAGTCTGTTAGAAGTAAACATCATGCATCATATTAACTGAAAAGAGTGATATAAATAGAAGAAAGATGCAAAATTTGCATGTTCGAAAACCAACAATAGATTAGATTAGTAATTCTTATTTATTTATTTATTTTGTATTTTAGGGAAGGGTCTACAGGGTGTTCAGGGTCTCATTACTACTAGATCGGATTCGTACTGATCCACCTTTTTACAGCTTAACAAGGGATGATTTTATCCCCAGGAAATAAACGAAAATGTCTGAAAACATTTATTGTCACAACTATGACTATTACTGGAATCCAAAGGGCAAAGGTCAGAAAAGTTGTTAACCATCCTGCACTAAACAGGACACCGCTTCCCTAAATGTTGGTAGTATAAAAGTGGAGAAACACAAGTACTCTATGGTATGCTCAGGACTCAAGAAAAAAGTCCCATCTGGTTATTTAATCAGCTCTAGGTGGTATCTTCGGGACATCGCCAAGATACACGAAATCCTTCATGCCGTTACACTGATTCAAATGTTAGAAGTAGGTCACCGACTCAGTGTGCTAAATAATGGAATAGATTTAGTCCCAACTTTTTAAATTTGAGGGAAGTGTTAACCATTGGGAAATTCTAGTTTAAATTTTAATTTCTTTGAAAAGAACACTTAAATTTTGAAGTTTTCCCAATAGTTGCATTAGGAAGAAACAAAAATGGGGAAAGCAAATCTATTCTTTGCACTGCAATCCCAGAAATACCAAAGCAAAAAATCTACATTAATGTGTCACTCAAATAAAATTATTAATTTTTCCACTAATTTTTTGAATGTCATTTTTATTTGTATAAAATTCACATTTTTCAAAGATTTGAGTATTATAACTTGTTATATTTTTATCTTATATTATAATGAAAGTTTTCTATTTATTAATTTAAAAAATTAGAGTGCTTGAATATAAAATTCCGAAGAACATTCTGCAGTACAAACTGCATTCCAGAAACTCTATTTATGAATCAGAATGGTAAGATTTATCCAAGTATTGTGTTGTAATTTTTTTCATTCCAATACCAATTTAGAGTTTTAAAAATTAACTAGGATGAACAAGAAAAAAAATTGAAGTCTCTTTTGTATTCCCTCTAGGCCCTGGTAAAAATGGAAAGTAAACTTGTCTAGATGGTTTAAAGAAGTATATGCATATATATGTAGATTGAGTTTTAAAAATTGTTACTAGATTATGCACTGTATAAGATATATCTTGGACACTGTGCTGTGAGGAAGGGACGTAAATTATATGTTCTTTTATTTTTAGCTAAAAATGAAACCTTGGCATTACCTACGGAATCTAAAACACCAGAAGTTGAAAAAACCACAACACAGCACATAACAGGTAATGAGATCCTTATGTAGACACTGAGAAAAGAAGCAACATATTTTTCCAAATAGTGAATGATATACACACTTTTATTTTTCAGTGAAGACCCAGCAGGAAATTTATTTTTATCATAAACAGAAGGAGGCAATAGAAGATTCTAGGTTTTTAGTGTTTGAGAAAAAAAAAGATAAAAACTGAATGATTAGATCATGTAACTGATAGGCCATATGGAAGCAGAAGCTTTATTCTTCATTCTAAATGAAAGTTTGTTATACCACCACTAGAGTAGTTTCACATTAAAATGTAATACTAAGGTTTTGGTATAGGATATTCCTTTTATTTGGAGACCTGATACCATTTTTCAATGCTTCTTCATGTCTGGTCAGTTTGGTAAAATGCCTTATATCCTTCACAAATTGATAATTTCATAGCTATGAAAATACCCTTGAGTAATTTAGACACAAAGGTCTTTGAGGAGATTAATAGGCCCTGTGTAGAGAATATATAATGTTTCAGCAAAAATACTTTAAAGAATAAAGATAGTATTTTCCCCATAGTTTACCAGTATTTCCAACATTTGTTCTTTCAATGAAACTTCCCAATCTAATCCACGGGGGAGACATTAATCTCTGAAGCACAGGAGTCTTGCCAGAGCCATACCACCCTATCCAGCACTCAATAAATCAAACATCTGGCAAGAATTCCTCAAAATTCACATTTAGCAAAGCAGCTCTTATCTACACTGACTCTTCAATCCGTAAGATTGCTAAAGCCAGAGATATTAGTGATCTTTCCTTGATAATAAATTTTTGGACTTATAACTGGACCAGAGAATATAATATTGATTGGGTACTAAAATAACTTTAAGAAACAGATTGAAGCACAATATTTCTGCCTGAGTAGAGGAGTGTGGTACTACCTAGGGAAAGAAATGAACTTTATCCTCACCTTCGTAGCATAGCAGAAGCTACTGGAGCTATCAAATCGATCCATCTGAACAAAATACCTAGGTAATTTTCTTATTTCAGTGTGATTTGTCAATACCAAGAAAAGCACAGGCACATCCCAATAGCTGACTCCAAGTCCTTTTCTGCTTCAAAAGTCCTACCCATTTCTCCAAGTTCCATTTTCTTTGCTTGGCATAGTATCTGATGAGACTCTACAGATTTTTTTTTAATTCTTTGCCAAATCCTTCTCAGAGTTTTCCACTTCAGAAATTCTTGGGCAATCACTGCAACTTATTATTCAGTATTGTGTTTATTTCATATCTTTACCCTGTAAAATTAGAGGATTTTCCAGTAGACAAATTTATTCCAGAGTTCAGTAACTACAGTTTGTGTTTTTCCAAAATCATTTACCTGAAGTTTTAATTGCCTTTCACCTAGCAATTGGAACAAACTTGTGGTTCAGCATTTAAACATTGATCTTAATTTTAACCTAGTTCCAAACTTTGCAGGTAGAGGCAAGTTTGTGAAATAAATCTGAAGGATGTTATAGCTGTCAACAAATCTTTTAGCCCTGGTTTGCTCTTCTATTTGCCTGTGTTTTCATTTAATAACCTATTAAAATATGCATGTTTGTCCTAGGCATTACACAAAAGCCCTGGAGATAAAGAAAATAAAGCAAAAACTGATCTAAGTACTTTAATGCATGTTGGTACAGTGTGATTTCTGTGGATCACATAGAAAGTCGAACAAACCAGGAAAGATATATTGAGGAGAAAAGTCAGACCAGGCATCTGAGGCAAGTCAGGGAGTTGTTAACTTTGTGAACTTGAGAAGAAAGCTCCTATATTCACTTCAGTTACTAATTCTGAAGGCCAACAAGAGATCTTATGATTTTTAGTTGTTTCATCATCTTGTCTTAATTGTAAAATTATCTCTTTTTTACCTTCCAGTGATTCCTGAAATAGTTCCAAGAACCACGAAACCCACTGTGTCTAGTACATTAGGCATTTCTGAAACAACACTGGGTAATTCTGAAAAACTTTCATTTTCTTAAAAATCAAAAGAAAACAGCAATCATGTAACCCCAGGACTTTAAATCCTACTTTTCCTCCTCCTCCTTTCCCTCCTTTCTTTCCTCCCTCTTTTTCCTCCTTCTCCTCTACTTTCTCCCTATCCTTCTTATCTCTTCCCCAGCAGTAGTAGCCTTTCTATTTCTTGGACCAATTCCACTCAATAGTTAGCAACATCCCTGGGTCTTGGTGACCAATACTCCAGGCAGATGTGAATGCTAGATACTAACTGCATATCTTTTTTAATACGTTTCTTGGATTGAATGCACAAATATCAATCTTTCAACCTCCAAATCTTGGAGGGGTGGGAGAAATATTCAAGTCTTGACTGAGCTTTCTGCTTAAATTAGCTTTCAGCAGTTTTGTGCACATTAAATGTGCCAAGAATCTCTTCTCAAACCATACTTTCTAGTAAGAATTTCACATTACTTATGTTACCTGCTGTTTCACCCAAGACACTCTAACTTACTTTTGTCATTTGGTCTTTTCCCCCAAACAAAAGGAGCAGTATGTATTTTATTCTGCACTTATGATGTTGATCTTCTAAAAATACTCTTTTGAATTTTAACAGCCTTGTAACTTTTCCAGGGAAAGACAATTGTTTTCAATGAAAAGCACCAACTGCTCCTTACATATGAATCTCTGTTTTGAAGCATGCTATATATATATGGTCATGGTTTTGCCAAAACATCAAATCCTCTGACAAGGTGTTTCTAACTGCATTCTTTTTTATTATAGTTCTCAGCCAGAGGACCCCAGAAACACTCCAAACTATTCTGTTACCTAAGTTTGAATTGCCACTGAGCACTCTAGGTAAAAAATTATTAAACACTGTGTTATTACTTTGGAAGTTTTATGTATGCTTTTTTAAGGCATTTAGGGTAATTTGTTCAAAGTTATCTTCTCAACAGAAAAAGGAGAAGTAGCCTGTAGAACAATTAGCTTCCCAACCCCAAGCCCTTAAATGTGTTGAAACAATCCTTAGAGGGCTCCTAAAGAATCCTCTATGAAAAATCTAGGGGCCGGGGAGAAGGCTCAGTAGAATAAGTGCTTCCCTGGCAAGCACAAGGGCCTGAGTTCAATCCCCAGTTCAAAAAAGAAAGAAAGAAAGAAAGAAAGAAAGAAAGAAAGAAAGAAAGAAAGAAAGAAAGAAAGAATATTAGCAAAATCACTCTACTACTTCTCAGTTCCTTGCTGTGCGTGCTGTAGGAATTCATGCCTAAAGTTTCCTGCTACATCAGGAGAACTTCATACAGCACCTCAAGATAATCGCATT